GTCTAAACTCCTTACAGGGGTTATATAGGGGATTCATACGGTTTAGGGTTTAGGATTTAGAATTTAGGTCTTGGCGTTTAGGGTCTGAACTCCTTAAAAGGGTTATATAGGGGATTCTATACGGCTTAGGGTTTAGGATTTAGGGTTTAGGATGTAGGGTTTAGGACTAAGAATTTAGGAGTTGGCGTTAGGGTCTAAACTCCGTAAAGGGTTTAGGGAATACATAGGGTAATATTGGGACCATGGAAAAGAAGTTGGAAACTACTATAGTATGTTGGGGTTATATAGGGTTGAGGGTTTAGGGTCTAAACTCCTTACAGGGGGCTATATAGGGCAATATATAGGAGAGTGTTATAGGGTTTATTAAGGGGGATGCTAGGAGTTGAGACCGCGGAGCATCTTAAAGCAGAACTTGACCCGACCCCCTTTAGGGCTTAGGGTCAAGACTTTAGGGATTAGAGTTTAGGGTTTGTAGACTCCAGGGATGAAAGTTTAGGGTTCAGGGAAGACAGAATGTATACATGATCTCCAAGAATGACACAAAGCACCTTCACTTTGCATAGGACCCCATTTGCGACCAAGCTACATCTTATTTAGGTAGCTGGATCCTTACCCTGGATACTATAGCTGACTACAACCATACACGTTTGGGTCTTTATGACTGTGTTCGTTACTTGGGCTTCTGAGTTTGTTTGATAGTTATATACTTTGGACCCGTGGAACCGCCCTAAACCCTATGCCGGATAAGGACTGCACATTCCCTATTTTTCCACGGTATCCAGAGCGGGTTACACTGCCCTGCTTCGCCAAAATCCTTAAGGGGGTTCCCTTAACCAGACTTTTTTTTAGCCTTGGGACCCGGTAGGCCGTAAACCCCGAGCCCTGTTCGTCATGCTGAAGGAGGCAATCGAGACAGCTTTCCACGCCCCCCATGCGCGCAGGGAATTTTCTCGAGCTCTCGTGGAGATTCTGGGCTGAAACCCTAAACCCTAAACCCCTCAGACCCTATATTGAGCGTCAATATTTGTACAACTTGGGTCACACCGCCAGGTTTGTTGGGCGGTGTCTGTTTGCTTTATCTTTACCTCAACCCCCCAAAGAAGCTGCCTAGACGATCCCAACTTACAGGGGGTTACTAATTTTGGGGAATGGAGCAATGGGTTGTGAGAACTATTTTGCTCGGGGTTTTCTAAATGGATTTACTGTACGGATTCATTCCTGGATTCCCAACCGACTACCAGTAATTGAAGGGTTTAGGGTTTATATGGTTTAGGGTTCCCTATCGGACGTGTGATGTCACTTTGGGAAAGGCTAAGTCAAACAGGTGTCTGAACTGGGGGGATAAACAACTGCTTCAGCATCTCAAGATGTCCTAGTCCTTAAACCAACGACCCCCGAGCAGGAGACACCTACACCTGTGGCTACAATTCCCTAAGGGTCCAAGTACCTAATAATCATATATTTGCCCAAAACCTGTACTAAAATCATTATTACCCAAAACCCAAGGACCTAATTATTAGGTACATGGACCCTTAGGGATTATTTTGAACCTGACATGAGAGTGCAAGTACGAAATACTCAGATATCCCCAATACCTGGTTGTTTTTAGCCCCCCCACTATATAGAGCCCCTCGAAGTACTTCTGCAAGTCCTTAGCCCAAGCTTAAAACCGCTGAATCCCCACGAGTCTGTGTTACTAAGGATTGTGCAGCTGGCCGAGGGCTTGCTTCGTTTCAGCCAGCCACTGGGAGCATCCTTTTTATTCCATGGGAAGGAGGGCGGGTGCTGATTGTGGCCAGGTGGTGATTCAGGCGAGATGGGGAGGACGGATGTTATATCCAGGGAGCATTCTGTAGTCCCTTTTATTAATCAGAGTAGCGCTCGCCATGTTTCTCAGCACTTGCGTTTTAGTAATGTACGTACCCAGCATTCAGGGCCGAGGCGTGGCAATTGTGAGTTCAGGTAGGTGTTGGGCCTGCGGATTCAGGATTGGGGTGGTGGGCTAGGCTTTAGGGTTGAAATTAGGGTTTATAGGGTTTTTGGTGGGCCCTACCCAATCACATATAGACTGTTGGAGCCCTAGATGCCACTTCCCAAATCCATATCGCCAAGCCGCCAGCCAGCTGCTAAAACCTGATAGAGCCAAATGGAAACCTCGCAGGAGAGAAGCCTTTCGCATCTGCCCGTACCCTCCCCGAACAAACATGGAAGCTGATATGGTCCTCTTTGTGAAGGACTCAGTTGTTTAAACCTTCCACGTTGTTTTGAGGGTGTGTAAATCCCAGTCCTCAACCAGTAGCCTTCTAAGTTCCAAACACCCCGACTGTGACCAACAGAACCCCCGGGGCTCCAAATAGTCCAACGTAGGTAAGTCTTACGTATAGACCTCGAGGCCCAATGCAGGTCTTATCCATAGATTTTAGGACATGATGTACGTCTTATTTAGAGGCGCTAGCACCCAAGATATTTTGTGTCAAATAAGTATAAAATCTTGGGCCCCAGTTTTTTGTCTACGGACTTCAGGGCGCCAGACTTTACAATCCTTAAACCTTTAATATCATTTCAAGCCCTAAGCCCTAAGCCCTAACATCCTTAAACCTTTACACCCCAAAATCCTAAAACCTTGAACCTAGACCCCCAGACCCTATAGACCCCACAGCCTATAAGCCTTAAACCCTATTCTAACCCCTTTAAATCTTCAAACCCTACCCCAAAACCCTATACATCCTAAACCCTTCCTAGAGTAACCTGGACCTTTTTGAAAGGTGAGGATGCCAACATAATTACTAGGTACAAAACCTTTTTCCTGATAGGTCCATGGGTTTTCTAGTTCCATAAGCAAAGGGGATGTGAGTAGTATTCTTTGGGGGGATACTACTGGGTATCATAGGAGCCAAAGCGCTCGACGCCTGACTGAAATGGCCGACTGACGTCCGAGAACAATATTATGGTACCCAGTACAGAGTGAAATTCGACCCTCTTTTTGCGTAAAGTATTTTATGTTTTAGAATACAATCTTTCTATATAGGTTCAACCACCACAAAAACTATTACTCATGTAAGCTATAGTCGAAACTCCAAATGAGCCCTATAGTAGTCTGCAAATTAACCACCCTTTATAAAGAGTTTCAACCTTAAACCCTGAACCTTAAGCCCTAAACCCTAAACCCTACAACCCCTCGACCCTAAACCCTGAGACCCGAAATCCCTAAAACCCTTAACCCCTAAACCCTAAACCCTAAACCCTTAACCCTAAACCCTTAACCCTAAACCCTAAATCCTTAGGCCCGACCATCGCTCAGTCCTCACGGCGAGATTGTCCGCCGGCGGCGCGGAAGCAGTTAGGGGCTTCGGTGCCTGAGCCTGGGTTTAGGGTCGGGGGTTGGGGTTCATAGGGTGTAGGGGGCAGTTTAGGGCTTAGGGTTTAGTATTTGAGGTTGGGGGGTTTAGGGATATGACTCCCGAATGATAGAGAACCAAATGGAAAATCAAATGGCAAATAGAATGGAACATGTGCTCTTATATTACCTACATCGAGTCTTACGACAATGCTTTGTCAGTTATGACCGACCTCATCTCGAGCGGTTGTTTACACAGAAAACAGTCGCACCTTTGCTTGCTTCCAAGGTCTGGAATTATTGTAAATTTGCCAGTTAAAGGCATAGGAGCTTGAGTCTGTCTGTCCGAAACCATACTGTTATCACCTAGTAGTACTACTCATGTATTGTTATTATCAACTTTGTCATGTATGTGGGTTGACGAGGAGTTGAGCTTAGGGTGTGAGCGGCAGGACTGAAAGTTCTAACAGGAGATTGCAGCTGCGCTGTTGCTCGAAGGTGCTGTCGTGTGCCTCATGCATTTAGAAGGTAGTGCGGAAGGTGTTGTCTGCGGGAGGTCCCTCATTTCAAATTTCCACCCCACTTGAAACAACAACCCATAACTCAACTGAAGGACCCTCGTAAATTCCAACGAGCATTTCTCGGCACGCAGAGGAAGCAGTGTCATCCATCTTCAGTTCGAACTCATGGGAAAAGATAAGCAGTTCGTCCATACAGCCTTGGCCCTGCTGCGCTGCCTCTGGGCAACTGAGGTTAGACATCTCCCAAGCGTTCCGTAGAATACTTTTATTTGTCTTGAAGCTTTGGGATCTCGTGTCGCGAACAGGCCGCACCGGTCACAACACATTTTAGCCATAGCTCGCAGCTCAGCAACTTCTGATCTTCAGCTCCACTACGGCATTTGTCATCCAGCGCTAGAGACGAGCAGCCCCCATAATGCAGAGGGCAGTGAGCGCCTTGCTTCAATGTGTATTTCTCAACAAGCCAGTTTGTAATTCCCATGTATCCCTTGAATTACATCTTTTTGAGTCCACCCCCATGTGTGTTTTTGCTGATACAGAACCTTGATTGGCGTTTGCGACAGACGTGAGCTAAGCAAAACATGCCTTGGCGACCGCTTCGCCCCCTGCGAGAAAGTGTCGTTGCGCAGCCAAGGTATGGTGAATGGAGAGCATGTCCAGGCAGGTACTAAGCGTTGTAGTTGCAGAAGTAATTCTGGCGGTAGTAGTAACAAGGGAGGTAGTAGTGGTGGTAATTTCAGTCGCGGTATTACTGGTGGCAGCGGGAGTGGTGGCTGCCGCGGTTGGTGGCGCGGAGGGGGACAGTGGCGGTGGTGGCGATGGCGGTGGAGAGTGCGGCAGCGCTGGCGGCGGCGGCGGCGTAGTGGTCTGTCTTGGTCGCGGTTGTTATCGTGGTTGGTGGTGTTTCCGGCATATTGGTAGTAGTAGTGCTGGTGGTCTAGGTATGCGTAGAGTTGTAGTGTTTGTGATTGCGGTCGTGCTGCTAGTGGCGGTTGTAGTGGTGGCAGTGTACTGTCAGTAGCAGAACTAGTAGCAGAAGATAAGCGAGAAACTGTCCGTGCGTTCAAAAATACGACGTAAACTTAGACACCGCAGTTCAGGTGCCGCTATGTATGAGTCGGGTTGAGACTTTCAAAATCAAAGTCAAGTATTATCACCACTGAAGACAGCAGAATACTGGCTAGATCTGAGCGGATAGAGGCATTGATCCTCGGTCATGGCTTAAGTTTGAATTCCCTGCACCTGAGACTCCCGATCCTGAAGATTTGGCATGGCTAGGTCGTGGTGCAGGCCACGCGGCAGGCCGACGGGTCGCCATCAGACGAGGTCTGCAGGGCTGATTGCAACAGGACTGCGAAGACATATTCAGGTATTTCAAGTCCGCGAAGTCATCAAAGCTCAGTGAGTGCCATGCACAATCTTTGCATTGCTTTCGCTTCAGGTAGATTTCGGACTGAACCTGAAGCTGCGCGAACCGTTAAGACTTGTCAGGTGAGGGTGAGCCTTATCAATGCGAATGGCGAAGAGATCGGTTCACAACGCAGCAGTATGCGCATGCTTGGAAATTCTGACGAAATTCTCAAGGATTTCTCTGAAGAGGTGCCCCGAGAAGAGAGCTTAGACGCGCCGGAAAAAGGGGAGCAATGCATTCGCAGAAGCGAGTATGAATCTGACGGTGATATTCTACGCCTCTATAAGCCTCTACGCCACCCTAAACAGCAAACGCTTAGCCTAAACCCAAAGTTTGTAGAGGTTTGTTGGGTTTGGGACGTTTCCTTGGAAGCCAAAAGCAGCCCTTACACATCCCTGGGCCTAGAAATAGCATTCTTAGTCTAGTTAGTTTCTTATCCTACACGGTAGTTATACAAACAGGTTGAACCCATTCTGGCGCGTACATACTTAATCCTTATTACAGGAACCCCAAAGAGAACCCCTTGGGACGCAACCACATTTTGGAGAACTGTTGTGCGTTGACTATCCCAACTCCATGTTCTGGAGCTCGGAATCCATGCTCTTCATCGACTTTTTGGGTTCCCGGGCCTGTTAAAGGATCCAAAACGTGGATACCCTAATAATCCCGAAGTTTCCCCAATCTAGTAATGGGTTCATATTGTGGGTGTGGTCTTCATTTGTTGGATTCTTTAATTACAGGGTCTGGGTTTAGGATGTCCGTGGGTCGTGGTTCCGACGGGCAACAGTGCCCTGCGAATATAGCATATTCTTCAGATCAGTTTCTGGGTCCTTGTAGGATCTAAAGCGTACCTGCCACGCCTAGTGGTTTTTGCATACCAAGTGCAGGTTTTTTCAGTTAATGGCTTCTTTTGGTTAGAGTACTTGTTTTGCATGATATGACCTTCTTTGGCTCAATCTCATTCATTCTCTCCTGTGACATCAGCAGCCAGCAACAGCTTGCCTCAGAAAGACACTCGAAAGCATGGGAGCTGATGTAGCAGTTACACGCCAAGGCCTAGAGATTAAACCCTAAAACAGTATCCAGGATTCACTAACTTACTTTGTGTACCTCAAAAGAGCCATGCCACCCTATCATGGACGGGCCATAGCTACTCGGAGGCCTCCAACCGTAAATCCTAAAAGTTGTTTTTAGCCATTATCCTCAGCAGCCAAAGAGGTCATGCCCAACTTTATGCCCCACATCTGCCTCAAACTGCAGACCATAAAGACCTCAGTGTTTAGCGAAGATCCTCAGTAGCAAGATGGGGTGCTGTGCTCTTGGTGCAGATTCCCTCAGCGAGTCTGCCATTAGCCCAAAAACCGCTGATGCAAAGCTGAGCGGCGGCCAGGTGCCAGGTTTTGTAAATGGGGGTTTCCCAAAATTAGGGGTACCTAGGTTTTTTTTAATAGGGGTTTCCCAAAATTAGGGGTACCATTTTGGGGGTCCCAATAATAAGGATGATAGTATTTTGGGGTCTATATTGGGGTCCCCCTATTTTAGAAAATTACCTATTCTAGGGAGTACAGGGATATGCAAGGGAGTAGACGGATTTGGGAAAAGAACATGGAGGCTAGTATTCAGGGCTTAGGGGGTTTTGGATTTCGGGCTCAGGGCTTAGTGGGTCTTGTGATTTAGGGTCTAGGGGGTTTAGGATTTAGGGATATAGGGCGCCCATGGTTTGGGGCTCAGTGTGGATTCAGGGCGTGTCATACGTTCCGCACAGGCCACAACGCAAGAAGTGTGTTGTGGTATGCGTCCAGATTCGCATAATTTCGCATACCTCTCCCAACCCACCACCCAGCTTATTACCTAGCTTATTACCTACACCCGAAACCCTAAACCCGGTTTTAGTGTGTTTCTACCCCCAGGCCTTCCAGGGCCGCGCGTGGGAGCATCTCCTGTACAGGGGCCTCTCTCAGGGGCTTTAACCGCTTCGGAGAATAGCCCACACTACCCTCTTTAAGTGAATGGGCTGTATGAGCTATAATCTAAACTCCAAGTAAGTATCCCCCTTAATAACCCCTGTGGTAGTCCCCTATATAATCCCCTATATAACCCGTCTTGAAGGAGTTTAGACTATAGCTCATATGACATGTCATGCACTAACTGTGAATTAGGGCAAGACCCTGCAGTGAGGACGCTTCGCAACAGTGGTGTTCAAAAATGCCTTGGAGCCACCCTGTGAGAACAACAACCGATAGCAGACAGAAACTGGATAAGGCAATGCAACAGAGAATGGAAACTAACCAATTTCTCGGAGTGTGTAGGGGCGAATATGTCGGTGAGAGTCTCATGATCTGATTTCGGGGAACTGCGGTACATACTCAGGGCGCATAGCCCCTCTACAGACAGATCCTATAGTCCCCCTTAAGATGGGGTATATGGTGATCTTATTATAATAGATCCAAAACTTCAGGGTGACTATAACCCTAAACCCTATATTCTCTCGACCTAAGGGGGACTATAACCCTATGCCCTAAACCCTATATTCGATCTACTTAAGGGGGACTACAATCATAAGGACCTTCGCAATCCAACATCCACCTTGCAATGTCGGATTCACTCCGCTCCCCTCCGCTCCCGGCCTCAAACCCTCGGCCCGGGTTTAGGGATTAGGGGTCAAGGGTTTAGGGTTTAAGGTTTAGGGATTAAGGGTTTAGGGTTTAAGGTTTAGGGTTTAGGGCCCAAGGGCCTCAGCCCTCCACCGGCAGCCCTAACGCAAGGTGCAGCGAGTAAGCCTCATTCCAGCTTCACATTGTTACTGCCTCCTGATACTTGGCATCAGAATTGAGCTTCATCGGCTGGAAGATCTCTGTGCTTTCCGATTTAGGGCTTCAAGGGCTCATAGGTGTAAACCCTAGAGCCTAAACCCTAAACTTCCAAGGGTTGGAAGAAGGGCCAGGGCAAGGGCTTGAAGTGGAAGAATCGCAGAACATTTTTGTGGGGGGGACCCCCGCAATCTCTAGCAATCCCTACATATGTCCAGTGTTGGTGCTTCTGATCGCTCTGTTTCGGGATAAGGCAAAGGAATCGGGCAACATATTTGGTTCTTGGAGCTTGGGGAATGGGGTCGAAAGAGGGATGAGGCCTTGAGTCCGCACGCATTCTGCCCTGGGAACGCGTTGGCTCCTAGAATGACTGAGAGGCGCGCACTTATGGCGCTACACGCCGGATTTTGTGGAGGCCCTGAGTCGGAAGGGCAGCGTCCCAAACCCCGAAACTCTGGAACCCCTGCATTTTCAGCGTAATCCTAATATCCGGGACGTACGGCCAAAACCTTAAACCACCAACACGAAGTGCTCGCATTTGACCTTCAGGATATCACCCAGTGCTGCTGTGTTCATGGACGTGCGGTCCAGAGACGCTTTTGACCGAAGTCACATCTACGGTGCTTGGTCTGTGGACGCCCTGCTACAGATGCTTGATCAAAAAGCAAGAACTTGTCACCCCATATGAGCCATAGTCTAAACTCCTTAAAGGGGGTTCTATGGGGGATTATATAGGGGACTACTATAGGGGTTAGTAGGGGGGATGCTAGGAGTCTAGACAGTGGCTCATATGGCAGTTTATCAAAATCATCTCTAGACATTACTAGATAAGGAGACCTAGATCCCAAGTTAAGGCACACAATTCCCAAGTGCAATGAGTAGTTGTTGAACATCGCCCTGCAGACCTCTTTTGGGATTAGGGTTTGCGAGTCTGCCAGAGACAGAGACTCCATTGATGCTGTTCACGGCCTTGGGTTTGTAGCTTATGTTTCTATATATGGAGGCTTCCAAGAATTAGGGCTTCCTTTTTGGCAGCCTCTATGATAAGGACCATCGTATTTTGAGGTCTATGATTAACCCTAGACATTAAACCCTAGACTTAATATTGCGGTTGCCCTGTTTCTGGATACCACATCCTAAGCCCTCAACGCCAAACCCTAAATCCGTATGGATACTACAATTTACGTCTTAAACCCTGAGCCCTTATGGATACTACAACTTACGTCTTAAACCCTAAACTCTTATGGATACTACAATTTTCGTGTTAGCCTGGCAAGCGTTGTTGTAAGTATGATTCTTGGATCTTTGATCGTTTCCTTGTGCAAGCATATTCACCGGCATCCCTGGAAGGTCATGTTTGCCAGCCTTTACTGTACCTTGCTTTAGGGATTGGGGGTTTAGAGTTTAGCGTTCAGGGTTTAGGGATTCAGGGACCTAGAGTTTAGGGGTTGTATGGTTTAGGGTTTGGGTTTTGGGGTTTAGCGTTCAGGGGCCAGTATTCCGTATGTAGGGCAGGCGTTCTCAGAAGAGACCTGCTGACAGGCTTGGGTAGCTCAACGTGGTTATGGAAAGTATCGGACCTGCATGGACCCCTTCCCCCTAGTATTAACGCCCCCATCCCACTAAGTTTAAATACTCCCAAGATACTATCATATACCAGAATTTGATATGCGGGGGGTGGGTGGCTTAATAATAGGGCGGAAGGGATTACTTGACATCCTGGCCAGTGAAGTTTTTGGGCAGGCTAAGTTGTAGTCACTTTTCTGATAGGGATCGCGGATGGGAGTGCGTCTGCATGTGCTTGCTATCCTCTAGCTTCACTACTGGACGATGTATATTTCAATGTCGCCGCATCGGCCCTCTTCTGGACTACTCACGTCAATCATCTTGACTGAAAAACGAATTCAGTGGCTACGTAAAACGTAGGCCTTGAAGATTCTTCAGACCTTCAACGCTTATCGTTGTTCATGTGAGCTTTAGTCTAAAATCCAAGTATCCCCTCGAATAACCCCTATGGTAGTCCCCTATATAATCCCCATATAACCCCCTTTAAGGAGGTTAGACTATAGCTCATGTCCCTATCCGGGACTCATCTGCTAAATACCTAGTTCCTTGATCAGACAGGTAACCAATGTCAGTTTAGGGTTTTAGGGTTTAGGGATTAGGGTTTAGGGTCTAGGGTTGAGGGTCTAGGGGTTAGGTTTAATGTTGCATCTTCTGGAAGTTGGCCGTGCCAGCCACATAAACTATCAAAGTTGAGAGCCAAACCTTGACTGTGAAGCCGTGGAAAGACTCAGGACCCCCCAAGTACACGTAAAAAGGAGCTATGCAGGTCCTATTTGTGGGTACTACCCCGAAACCCTGAACCGCAAACCGTATGTAATTCAGCCCTACGTCGC